GGGGAAAAGACAATAAATTGAGAGAGGAAGTCAAATATCTTTATTTCTTCACTAACGCACACTCAGAGAGAGCAAAAAGCTCGGAATCCGCCATAGCTGAGCTTCCCCTTTCTTCTACCCTTGGAAACCTCCTCTAGAGTCTTCATTGAAATGAACCCTCAAGGTAATGACAGCAAGGAGTTTCAGGTCGATTGCTCGGCGACGAGAGATCCCACGGCAGCTGGCGGCGGTGGAAGTGCGAGGTACAAGCTTATGTCACCGGCAAAGCTTCCGATCTCGAGGTCTACTGAGATCACTATTCCTCCTGGGTTGAGTCCGACTTCGTTTTTGGAATCTCCTGTTTTCATCTCCGACATCAAGGTTAATCACCACCAACCTACTCTCTCTCTTCTTCTTCTCTTGTGGGTATGTCACGATATTACCTCATTTTGTGGTATCGATTGAGAAATTAGGTTTTCTCATGTCATTTATTTAAGTCTTGCTGGATTTTATTCGTGGAATTGGAATTTGATTTTGTTTGACATTTTGTTCCACTTGTTAGGTTTCTCGTTGCGTCTTCAATTCCGATTCGGATCACTGTTCATGTTGCAGTTAAAGTGGAGTACTTAGTGGGGAATTTTCTAGGGTTTCTTAATTGGGTTCTATAATGTGGTAGAGATGCTTTCTGCTTGCACACAAGGGAAAAACATTGGACTTTAGGTTTCCATTTTTGTTTCTTAATCATTTACAAGTGCTTAAAAACTATCATTTCTCTGCTTACGTTAGTAGTGACTTTGGCTTAGATTCTGATTCTTCCTGTTACTATACTCTGCGTTGGTTCGCATTTGTGTCCGTTCAGATTGTTCTCTGGAATAAACCCTTTTCTTTTCTCTCTTGTTCTATTGATGCTGATTAGTTTTTTATATATATCATCATCCTCTTCATCGATTTTTTTTCTTCATACTGTGGAGCTTCCCTGTGTTTTGGTGCTTCTCTTCAATTCTTTGTCGATTGTTTTTCTCGTTAGCTGTATAGGGTTTCCATTTGCTTAGAAGATATTGA